CTCCTGGAGGCCGGGGGCGGGGCGGCGCCGCCCCTCCTTGCCGTGCCACGGCTGCTCCGGGGCGGCGGAGGGGACTGACTTTGCAAGGCGGAGGCTGCGGCCGGCGCGGAGCTGGTGGGAAGGTGCGGTGGTAAGGACTGGCGTCGCTGCCGCCTCCTCAGCTTTCCCCGGGCCGGGAGGCGGGCAGCGGGCCGGGGTCTTAGGACGGTGTTGTCTGTGCTCGCTGTGCCCCAGCCTAAGCTGTGAGGCGCGCCGGAGGCTGTGCCGACCCGAGAGCGCTGAGCACTGAGCCTGTCACGGCGACCGAGCGCCCTCATCTCCTGTCCTCCTAGTTTAGGTGGGAGCGTGGGAGCGGGGTGGGGAAGGGCGGCCCGGGCCCCCGGCCCTGCACCCACCGCCACCTCCTGGATGACAGGCTTTCCCATCCCTGCCCAAGGCTCCTGGGCCCCGGGGCCTCTAGGTTCGTTCTTGACTTGATCAGGAGCGCCCTAGACTTTGAACCCAGGTGACTACATCACCCGTAATTCTGCCCTGGGCCTAATAAAGGTTAAGGAGAAAAGTGCCAGGAAACGCTAATGCCTTGGGCCCATTGCTAATGATCACATCTCAGAACTGAGCAGTACCGCACTCTGGGCATTCATTCTGTCGGTAGAACTTTACTGTTTGTGGAAAAAAGGAAGAGTAAGAGTTGTAGTAAATGCATAGGTAAGACTAAAGAGGTGGTATTTAATTCGCCTCACCCAAACTTCTTGTCATGCTGTGTCTTAACACAAGCCCACCCTAAGCCGCGGATAACTAGACTTATTCGCTTAACGAGATTTAAATACAAATGCATATAAAACATCCCTTCCTTCCAGTATCTTCAAGAGCCCATTGGCTTTTGTTTCTAAGACCTATGGTTTTATTACCCAAATTTCTCATCCAACTGATGTGAAAACTGAAGGCCAGAGTAGTTTATTGCCCAAGAGCAGAACATTTGTTACTCAGTTCATTTCATTGAAAACTTTACAACTGGGGCTGGGAAGGTGGCTCAGAAGTTAAGAGCAAGCAGTGGGATGCGCTTCCAGAGGACCTGCTGTTGTTCGTTTGCTGCAGCTTCTGTGCGGGAGAAACACGATCCACCAAACTTCAACAAAGCCACATAGAGTTAATTTGGGAAAGGGGGCAAAGGGAAGGGGGCAGAAATGGAAAGAAGAAGAAGAAGGAGAGAGAAGAACAGGCAGCAGGCTTCGTTTAGAAGAGTCTCAGTAGCTGGGGCGGTTGAAACTGGAGTCATGGAGCTGTTGTATTCCAGCTCTGTGCGACCCCAGTTCCGCATAGTTCCTGCATGCACAGCCCTTATGCAGCCATGCAACCTTTGACAGGTGTCAGAAAGGAGCGATCCTGGGGTGGGGAGAGAGCAGGAGGATTAGAGAGGCCCGAAACCAGGAAAGGTTCCCCAAGGAGAAGGCACAGGTCGAGAAGAGGGCTGGTGCGAAGTAACAGGCAGATGGGAGAAGGCACAGGCCGAGGAGAGCGCTGGCATGGAGTGACAGGTGGGTGCTGAGGGGGAAACCACTGGGTGGGAGAAGAATAGAAGTTGGGTGCAGGGACCGGGCAAGGTTTCCCAGGATCCAGGGAGAGGGAGAAGCCAGGACCTGTGTTCAAGCTTAGCTCTGTGCTCATGTGCGCCTGCGCACACCCCCACACACGGTGGCTCACAAACATCTGTAATTCCATCCATTCCTAGGGCATCCACTGCCCTCTTCTGGCCTCCACAGGCACTGTACACATGTTTTACAGACACACATGCAGGCAAAAAATGAAATAAATAGATATAAAAGAAAAAATTTCAGCTGAAATGTAGAGAGGTACAATGATAGCAAATAACTAAGGGACTTTATTTACAATTTGTTATGTTTTTCAATTAGGAGTGCATAAGGAGATTAAAATTGGACTAGAAAAAAACTAGGGAACGACTTTCAAGATACTATAGGAAAATATTTGCTGGGCTGCAATAAAGTGACATGATGCTTTTGTTCTACCAGGATAAATTAATAAAATAGCTTTCAGTGCTGTAAACTGTTGAAAAAATGTGACATTTCTTTAGAATGGCCTTTTGTGTCTTATATCACTTTTTTTATATAAAAAGATGAGTGTTAAATCTGCATTCTCTCTCTCTCTCTCTCTCTCTCTCTCTCTCTCTCTCTCTGTGTGTGTGTGTGTGTGTGTTTTCTCTGTGTGTGTGTGTGTGTGTGTGCTTTCAAGACGGTCTCCCTAAGGCAGCCTGGAACTGACGAGATCCAACCGCCTGTGCCTCCCAAGTGTTAGGATTAAAGTTGTGTGCCAACGTTTTATATTTTTAGACTAATGTTAATACTAAGTAATAAAGTGCTTGCCAAATAATGTCACCACATCAAAGAAATTTGTGACAGGACTTTTGTGATGGGATTTGTGATTTTAAGCTTGAGCAGTTACTACTTTTGAAAGTAAGGAAGTGTTGTATGTGACCATGTAACTAGTCCAAGTAAGGACAGGTACAACTTGCTTCAGAAGATTGCTGGAAAGTGAAAATGTTAAGAAGTACAATGGATATCAGTGACTGAATATGATTTTTGAGCAGAGAAAACAACCGAGGAAAGGGAAATTGTACTCAAATATCACTCAGGTGAAATTTCATATGTTCTAATAAGATATAAGCATGTGAAATTAAGACTCCAGTCCATAGGCTGGAGAGATGACTCAGCCATTAAGAGCATTGGCTGCTCTTCCAGAGGACCAGGGTTTAATCACCAGCACCCATGTGGCATCTCACAACTGTTTATAACTCAGTTCTAAGGTATCCGACACCCTCACACAGACATACATGTAGGCAAAACAATGATGCACATAAAATAAAAACAAGTAAATAATTTTAAAAAAGACTCTAGATGGAACATGCTTTTAAAAAGTCCAGTTCTCAACCTGCCATAGAAACTTAAACCTGGCTCTTGCATAAGTGTGAATTCGTTTGGGTCTTTTAATCTTGCTCATTGAGAGGGAGCTAAGTCCGGATCTCAGGATCTCGTTATACTTTAAACATTATTGAGGATCCAAAGAAAAATGTGTTTACTCTTATAACCCTTAAACAAACAGACAAACAAGCAAAAAGACTACCACATGTAGTCTGCATTCTAACCAAGAGGAGGGGGAAGGGGAAGCAATTGAAGATTTTTATTTATGTAACCATTGTCTTATGGTCTTTGCTCAGTTTCTTTTCTCCCACTACTTTTAGCTTTTATTTATTTATTTATTTATTTATTTATTTATTTATTTATTTGAGACTTTATTTGAGACAAGGTCTTACTCTGTCAACCTGTAGTCCAGGTTACAGCAGTCCTCCTGTCTCAGCCTCCCCTAGTGCTGGGGTTGCATGCATGTACCATCATGCCTCTCTTTGCTAATTATACCAGATGGGTTTGTTGCTTCTCTTTCCAAGGAGACAGGCTAGCACACAGGACAGCAACAGATGGGAAGTCCTTCAAGCTTGGTGGTTTCCAGCAACTTCATCCATCAGTGACGGATAGTTCACAGAATAATCTGAGGTG